TCTTAACAGTATTGATTAATTTAGTCAATACTTTATGTTGCATGTATGTATGTACCATATGTATGTATTTCTACCCAAAGGTGCTTTTTTTCAAGAGGCAACTGGACTGTCTGGCAACTGGACTTTCTGGACTTTTTCCAGAAAGTCCGGTTGCCTCTTGAAAAAAAGCACCTTTGGGACAACCATGACCTGGATGACTGAGAATCTCCATAGACATGTATTTCTACCGTTTATACTGCACCTTTTCATTATTAAATGTAATAATCCCAAAGTGACATAATTAAAAATATAACACTGCATTCTTGTCAAAAGGTGCAAACCCGACAAAATGCTTTAATCTTGGGTAAGTTATTGGAACAGGTAAGACGTACATTTATTTATTTGTTGATTGTTTCATTTTACATAGCTGGCCATCTCAAATGCATGACTCTGGAAATGCATATTCAGCCTATGCTCACAATACAGTGGTCGACCCAGACAGAATTCCTGCCTTTTTAGATCTGGCAGTGCACAATCATTCTCATTGAAAAAGAACTGTTTGGAAAACCGGAGTCTCCATGGACTAAATCACTGCCCCATGAGTGTCACTGCCCTTTTGCTTCTGCTGCTCTATACCTTTAATTTTCTGGGAGGACTATATGCGTGCATGCCTCCTGCTGGCCAGCTGGTCTTCGGGTCTCTGCCGCACATGTGCAGGGGCGGCATATGCATGCGGGAAGATGGGGCACCTGCGGGGGACACATGCGCATGCATGGGTGGCAGGGCGCATGCACGGGGCGCATTGCATTTTGGGGGTTCGAGCGCACTTTGGGCACTCGGTCCGGAAAAGGTTAGCCATCACTGTCCTAGATCAAATGCACCGGAGGCTGCCATCTTGAGGATCACCAAGCTAAACTCATGTACAGGTAGTCCTCGACTTATGACCACAATTGAGCCCAAAATTTATGTTGCTAAGTTAGAAATTTGTTAAGTGAGTTTTGCCCCCTTTTACGACTTTTCCTACCACATTTATTAAGTGAATTACTGCAGTTGATAAGTGAGTCACATGGTTGTTAAGTGAATCTGGCTTCCCCACCAGGGGGGATGCTGCAAACGTTCGTAAGTATGAAAAAATGGTGATAAATTTTTAGTGCCGTTATTACTTCGAACGGCCACTAAACGAAGTGTTTGTAAGTCGAGGACTAACTGTACTTCTGTGGTGGACTAGAATACTTGTCTCCACTTGCCATGGTTAAGAAATAGGAGAACACAAATGCAACAGGCTAGCTGGGGTCAAGGAGATCCCTGGAAAATTATTGGAAGAACTGCAGCTTATCATCAAAGAGAACAAGATGGCGATCAAGCCTCAGGCCTGACTTGATGGCATCTAACAGTTGTGATGAATAGTGGCTCCAGGGTCAGGCTGAGGTCTTTTTAGGCACCACTGCTTTTTTACGTAGTCATGCTAAGAGTCCTTCTGAATGCAAGGCATGTGCTGCACCCAAGCCCTAGCTCTGCCTTAGCTCAATATTTCATACTCAGGCTATTCATATGTATCTTTGGAAAAAGGTCTCTCACGATCTTTATTGTACTTATATTCTTAGGCCTGCATTTGTAAGATTGACGCACAGCAATTAGCTCATCTATTCAGAGAGGAAAGCTGAACCCCGAGCAAGTAAAACATCAATTTAATGTTATGTTTTCCACTCTGAATGGAATAAATAGACCCCTGGCAAATGCAGAACGTTGAAAAAAAAATACAAAACCCTTTGATATATATCCAGTGGCTAACAACCGAAATACATTCCTGCTTGGAAATTCTGGGAGCTGTAATTTCAAGGTATCTAGAGGACATCTGGTTCGGGATGGTTGCAAGAATGCTATCCTAACCTACAGGCACATTTCTTCCTAGACAATATCCGAGAGCAGAATTCAGTCCGTTTCAAGACATACTGTGTCTTGAACTGCACCAAAGACTTTATAGTTGGCTCATATTTTCCCAGCGTATTTAAATTTCATTAGATATGATCAAAAAGTTGGAACTTTATATAAAAAGCAATGCATGAGTAGGACCATACCCGAGACAGTCCTGGAATATAATGAGATCTCAATGTGAGGTCAATATCAGAAAATTTGTTTCATTTACATTTTTTGTATCCCTTCTGACAACGAGACACTTTAGATCTGTGTGTCCAACCTTGGCAACTTAGACCACAGGTCTTGAAGTTGCCAAGGTTGGACACTCCTGCTTTAGATACTGAGAATAAAGGCAATAAAATGAGCTCCCAAGTAATAACTATGTATTTGGGTGAAGTTTTAGAAGAAATGAAGAGGATGATAAAACCAAAACAAGAAGCAATTGTTGGTAGATGCCACAGCACCAGGAAAACCTCTTAAGAGGGCATAATTTCACCAACAAAAAGGCCAGTTGCAATCTATTAAAAAGAAGTCTTTCTCCTCCAGCTGTGCCCCTGGAAAGATGCAACTAACACTGCTCTTGTGGTAATTTTCTAAGTGTGTGACTCTTGCAACCAAGCCTTTCTGAGGGAAACAACTGAGATTTTAAAAAGAAAACACACTGAAGGATGTAAGGATTCACCTTGGCCATATTGTAATATAGAGATCTCAGCCACCCAGATGTGGATGTTAAATTCTTCCAGCTGCCACTCTGTTGCTAGTGTGTCCCAAAAGTTGTTTTGCAGAAGTTTATCATGGCCTCTTTTCCCCAAGGTCAACTCAAGATAGTGAAACAAATAAGCAGCAAGGGAAATGGTCCACTGGCAGGATCCCCAATCTCTCCCAAACAATGTTCCAGATTAGGTGAATGGCCAATCCTGAACAATTTGGACTCTGAATCTGGTTTGTATTGCACCCAGTAGCCCAGAAGCATTCGATACATGTCCATCCATCAGCTTTCTATTTCAGGAGCAGGTCATTCCCCTCCCCAACAATTAAAGATAGATAGATAGATGCTGGACAACCTGGGTATTCAGTAAGAATACTAGCAAATAAGGACAGTTTGATGATATTTGGAACCAGCTAATCAAATTCCTAGGTCTAAAAAGCATCCAGTTTTACCAATGGGAACATATTCATTCATTCATTCATTCATTCATTCATTCATTCATTCATTCATTCATTCATTCATTCATTGGCAGCAACCAGATAGAACATCCAGTCCTTTTCTGTCTAGACTCTAGAGGATGGTCCATAATCCCCTGCCACAAAATACATCCAGCATTGAAAAAGTGAGTTGTCACCTCAAGCTGCATCTGAGCTTTTTCTCGAGCTCCATGCCTTCCATGCCTGCAAAACTGCTGAATGAGAAGTCTATTGTTCAGCTTGGGCATGAGCTCCCCAACAACCATTTCCAAATGCCAAGCAGGACGGACAGCCACCATTGGGGTAACAGCGTGCCTGCTGCACCAGCTGCCAACCAACCAGCTGGCCAATTAAAGGCTAAGCACCTGCTGGTGCCAGCAGCCAAAAGACCTGAGATTTGGGGGACAGAGGCTTCTCAGCCTTTCTGTCCCCCACATTTCTATTTCCTCTTTTTTTTTCTCCCAGTCACCCTCTGCCTCGGCTGCTTATGCACTCCGAACAGCCATGTCAGCCTTCAAGGGGAGGGAAAAGAAAAATAACCCTTGAATACCTATTTGGGCTGAAATGAAAGAATTACTGCCTGCCAATGAGACAGCACCTTCCGCATATGCAAGAGGCAACCTTTTCATGCTGCTTGGAGGATAGGAATGGGCAGACTAAGAGTCTGCAATAATTATACTCTGAATTAGAAGGACTGGCATCTAAATACCTTTCTGTAGTACGTGTGTCTGCCTGCATTTGAAGATCCAGAGGGATGCCACATTCTTCATGTGACTTGAGGGTCCAACGAGGTGGATGTATAGCACTTTGCTTGAAGCCTAAACATACATGTTCTCTGCTGGGGAAGTTGCATTCCCATTTTTTTTTTTATAATATCTCAAGGGCGAAGCAAGGAAGCTCTGCATGAGCTGGAGAATACTGTTTGTTAACCAAGAGTTTGGTGGCAGATGAACGAGTTTATCATAATGCCCTTCTGGTCATTGTTTTCTTAATTGTTACTCTTCTGAAATCTCAAATTTGCTAGATGTTATAGAAAACAAGGGGTGTGTGTCAAAGATGCTTTGACTGAGTGCTGTTACTGAGGTAAAGTCTCCTTAAAATGTAGGATGCGCTCTCTCTCTCTCTCTCTCTCTTGCACACACACACTTCTGAGTCAGGATAGAAGCCAATTGGAGAAACCCTTCCACCGCGTTCTCGCCATGGAAAGAAAATCGGGATGAAAATGTACTTTTATGCATTTCTTTCCTTTGATATGACCTTAGGCTGAAAACAAAGACGCCAAAGCTCCTAGCATTCTCTTTCTATTTGTGGATCCCTCTGACTTCTCTCCAACATTTCTTCTGCCAGTTGGAATAAAGGGTTTAAAACACCAAGCAGTCTTCCCACCTCAGGCAAGAGTTATGCGAAGTATCCTATATATGGTCATTTTGCGGTGAGGGTAAACTTTGACACACACACACACACACCCTCCTTTGAGATCACATGTTCAGAACCAACCCAGCTACCGACAGTTCTTCCTTTGCAAAATCCCCTCTGCTGCACCCCTTATCTTAAGAAGTACCCCTTCCCCATTTTTCTTGCTCTCGCCCACCCGCGCCTCTTATTAACATGGTAAGAGAGGGTCCTTTTCCTTAATCCCTCCCCTTTCCAGAGCGGCCGTGGCCTGAAAGAAGATGGCAACATCTTCTCCCGCCAGGGCTGTGGTAAGGGTGGGATTGGTGAAAGTCGGAATTTTAAGGTCCGCACCCCGCCCCCTTACTTTCCCTGGGCAGGGCACGTGCAACTCACGGCCGCCTGTGCTGACACCCCCCCCCCCCCCTCCCCCCCCCCCCAGTCCCCAATCAAGTGCAGAGTCAACTTTCTGCATATGTCCCCCTCCCTTCCTGTCAGGGCTCGGTGCATCTTGGGTTGCTGCTCCGAGAACCTGCTGCTCATCCTTCTTTCTCCCGCTCAGCTCTTTCGCGCTCCCCACCCCGAGGATTGCTTGTCTCTCTCTCTCTCTTTTTTTTTTTTTTTGGAGGAGGAGGGGGGGGTCTTTCTTAAGCAGCAGCGCTCGGCCTCCCCACATCTTTCCCTCCAACCTCCCCTTCTCTCTTTCTTCCTCCCTCTGGCTCTCCAGTTTTTCCCCCTCGGCTTTCCCGCTCTCAATGCTGGTGAAAAGATCTCTCCCTTGAAACATGAAGGTCCTCAGCTGGGTACGGCTCGCCCTCAGCCAGTGGCTTGTGCGAGAGGTAAGGCGCGTCGGAGGAAGACCATCGCGGGCGGGAGCCGACCGGCAGACCCCGGGGAAGCGCCGGGCGAGGGGGGCAACTTGGCGTGGCCGGGGAGACGGCAAACCTCGCACCGGGAACAAACTTGGTCCCGGAGGCAGGAGGAGGAAGAAGGGAGCGGGGGCGTCGAGAAGCCGAGAGCGCCCGGTTCGATCGGGAACTAACAACTGCGGGGTGGAAGCGCGTTTGCCGGCAGCTTTCCCCCCCCCCCCGCGACACGACACTCTTTTCCTAACTTTGACTGCATTTGCTAAGAAGCGAACGGAGGAGATTCGACGCGGATCTCCAAAGTTCGCGCGTGACGCTGATGTCTGGGGGGGCGGGTGCGTGTGTGGACCGGGGAGGACCGGCGTGGCGGGACGAACCGAGTTTGGCTTGAGAGAACCGTGGGGTGGGGGAGGGAGGGAGTACCGTTTCCTTCGCGCGGGGCGCAAACCGTCGAGGCCGCCGGCAAGTCATCTGCTCCTCCACCACATATCAAAACGGGGCGCCGGGCTTTAGAGCAGCGATAGCAGGAGGAGGAGGAGGAGGAGGAGGGCAGCGATTGCCGAGCTGTTTAAAAAAAACAACAACACAAAACACCTCCTGTCTGGCGACTCGCGAAAATATCGCCTGGGTTGCCAGTTCGGGTTTTTCCTCGCCTCCAGATCGGCGGGGCGTGGATAGTTGAGGTGGAAGCCCTGGTGGAGGAGACGCGCTCTCTTCCCGCTCGCGTCCGTCTCTTGGCCGAGAGCAAAACACCCGCGCACCCCTTTCGAGCAGCCGCGGTGGAAAGCTGGGTCAGGCCAACCAGCCAGCCGAGGGCGGCAACGCGACTTTTGCACGCGTTCGTGCCCGGGGACGCCTCGTGGAGCGGCTATCGGGTTCCGCTCGGCTCGGAATAGGATAGCGTTTACTTTCGGGGAGCCCCCCGCGGGTACAACTGTTGAAGCTCGGCTGCGCCGTCACGTACTACTGGTTGTGTGTACAAACGCAGGCACGTGGCCGTGCGCTTCCCGCTAGCTGTTGTGCGGGCCGGGGTTGATCCGTGCCTTGTTGTAATGAATGGTAAGGCGGTGTTGATAACGTGGGAAATGACGGTTTTTGGAGGTACCGTGGCTCGTGTGCGTGAATATACCGTGCAGTGACCACGCAAGCGAATAGTGGACAGGCAGGTGTATGTGTGAACCCGCCCACCGAAATGCCAATCGATGTATTTTTGGGAAGGGTTTCGTGGAAGTGCCACGCATCCCACACACACATATATATGTAGCAGGCTTTCCTAGGAGGTATGGAATGGATCACCTCGCCAGATCCCCAGCGCAATCCAAGACATTGTTTAAATACCAATTCGTGATTTATCAGACCGTCACTTTTTTTTTTTTAAGCACAGCTCCAGCCAGGGGTTAGAAAAGGGGTAACAAGCTTTTTCTGATGCCGTTTCTGGCCTTTCCCCAACCTAATTTCTGCTATTTCTGCCATCCGAATTAAACAGAGTAATTTTAAGCAAAGCGTTGGCCTTTCCCACCTCTTTTTACTAATTGTGAATTTAGTTCTACCAGCCTCAGGTGTGGCGAAGCCTTTGATCCATTGTTTAGTCTCCCCGGGGAGATTTTGCAGGCCAGCTCCTAGATTTCCTTAGGGAAGAATTTTGGCTAGGCAGGGATCAAACAAAACAGCCGGTCCAGGAGCTGGCTTTGTATGCAAGCCTCTTGCTGGCATAAAACCAGGTTGCCTCCCTCCTGATCTTAGGAGCCACTTGCGCCCATCTTCTGAAGCAATAGGTTTGAAAAAGGGGATGCACACACTCCTCCCTAAACAAATCATTTCCTCTATTACACACACACACACAAAAGAGCGGCGATTGTGTTGCTGCAGACAATATGCTTCCAGGTTAGTTTGCTTATAAGACAGCACACCAGGTGTATTATAAATAGGTTAGCCTGGAAATACTGTTTTTTGTTGTTGTTAAGCCATGGATGTACTTTCCCCACTAACTGTTTACCTGGAGGCCTGTGCCTCCAATTTATCCAGTTAAGCTGAATAAAGAAGCACTTAATGGAAGTGATATTAAATAATTGCAGAGGCCTTTTTACCCAGACCTTTTGCCTTTTTCTGCCACCATCCCCTTAGTCTTTGAATGTTTTTCTTCCTTCCACCAAATCAGCTGCCATGTTTTTAAAAAGTCTTTTTTTAAAAACCAAAAAGCAACAAACTCTTATCTCACACTCCTTTTCTGGTGGCTTGGAACTTTATAACTTCCTTATTTCTTCTTAGAACAGACAAATAATAGCACCCAGAAAGGATCATAAAATTTTGATTCTTCTTTGCCTGCTGCATCCACAGCCGCCTGTGTGCAAAATAATTCTTTCACAGGTAAATGGCATTGCCATTTTTAGTGCTTGCAAATCAGGAGTTGAAGCGCCTCAGCTTCATTTTTAATTTTTCTCTCTGTGTGTCTTATTTTTCTTTTTACGGCATTATAATGTTGCAGGGAGAAATAAGGAATGGGCTCATTAAGCACTGGGCCGGTGAGAATCGGATTTCATAACAATCAATTTTTACTTTTCAACAATTTCATGAAGGCTGATCCGCTCCCCCCCTCCCCTTTCAAGGAATTGCATTCAGACTTCCAGAAGGTAAGATCTCATCAACTCGGTTGAGGTTCTTAGGCTGATCCTGTTCTTTAAGGCAGGAAGAGGAGAAAAATCTTTGGAGGCCACCTCTAGCCTTTTTCATTAGCAGAAGAGATTGCTTTTAAGATGATAAAACCCTTCGTTTTAAACAGATAATCAGTTATTTTTATTTTTATTTTTTTGGAGGACGCAGTGGTCTGAAAGGAAAGAGATCAAAGGAACAAGATCTGTGCTGGGTTTAAAAAGAGATATAGCTGCTAATGCAGATGTTTATTATTTATTTAGTTGTTTTAGGATTTATTTAACCTTGCATTAAAAAAGAGCATCCAAGGGAAAGTGTTGAATGAGATGATTTCCCTGCTTTTCAAACCAGCTTGTGTGTATGGGTGTAAAAACACAAAACTATTAGTTCAGGCACCCTCTCCCCTTTTCTGGGAAAGGGACTCACCCTCCTCACGTACACCTAATTAAATTGGAAAATGGCTGGCAACTGGTTTTTATTTTAAACCAAGTTGTAAGAAATGAAAAAAGCCCTGCTAGATATTGAAACATTAGTGAATATGCTTGGTCTGCATGACCTTTCTTAGTTATAATCCTCAGTCTAATTTTTCTAAAGGTGTGTTACGAAGACATTGTTTATTTCCTTTCTAGCTGCCAATCCCCTATATTCTAATTCACTGTATTTTTCCTGTCTTCCATACTTTTGGGGGGAACAAATAAGTGTTCCCATGATGGTCCAGACCTAAGGAAAAGGAGAATTTTGTCGGAGAATATAGTTGCTGTTCAAATCCACTGGAAGCCCATCTAACAACAATGAAGGAAGAATGTAAAGCCTCAGTCTCGTATTGTAGAATCTAAAATACTCCAATATGATAATGTGGAATCCAGTAGTTCCCTCACTATGCTGACAATCTATATTGACATCTCCTTTCAGTCCATGTAAGAAAAAGGCCAACTTTTTAGTTTTCAGGAAGTAGAATCCATCCTTAAAACAGTATATTGGCATCTACATATTTCCTCTTAGTTAATAATTGTTATTAATTTTCATTAAGCACAGAATTTTCAATAACCACTTTTTTTTTTTTTTTACAAAAAATCTAGAACAACATCCATGGGAGATGACGTCTCTTTTAAGGTACATGAGATGATAACTGAACCCAGTGCAGTGAACTCAGAATTTGGGTTTCTGGGTTCTGGAGTTCTCCCTTCCTATTCAATTCAAAATTTCCAATTACTTTTACGTAGCGTTTGATGTGGATAGATTACCTATGAATGAGTCAGAATCAGTTTCATGCGTTATAAATCTAGGAGACTTACTTGTATTAGATTAGACTATATGGCCACCATGGAGTGCCAGAATGTCAGCTTTTCCCATATCATTGCTACCCATCTCCTTCCACTTATGACTGTAATTTTGTTACTTGTATCCTTATGATTTATATTGATATTGTTTCCTGATTGCTTATTTGTACTCTATGACTATCATTAAGTGTTGTACCTTATGATTCTTGATGAACGTATCTTTTCTTTTATGTACACTGAGAGCATATGCAAGACAAATTCCTTGTGTGTCCAATCACATTTGGCCAATAAAAAATTCTATTCTATTCTTTGCTATGCTATGCTATGCTATTCATTTTTTAAAACAACCCCCTCCCCAAAGAATTGAATTGAATTGAATTGAATTCTTTATTGGCCAAGTGTGATTGGACAAACAAGGAATTTGCCTTGGTGCATACACTCTCGGTGTACATAAAAAAAGACAACCAGCTTAGAATCTTTGGCATGCAAAGTGTGTTATCTTCTATTGATCAGTAGTCACTCTGCTGGCTACATCTGTTGACTAATATAAAAGATAAAACTTACTTTTTATTCCAGTGATGAAGAAAGGCTAAATTTCATTAATGATATTGCCCAAAAGAGACCATTTGCAAAACTCCAGATGACTCTAGGATTTATCCTCTGTCTCAGATAAGCCCCGTAATGGTGCCTTGTTGCAAACATCCTGTTCTTTACCTGGCATAAAAGTGTATTGCTGAGAAGCTGCCTTTTACAGAAGGGCAGAGGAAGTGCTACAAGGCAATCGCTAACAAGCAGATATCCATTCACTTTCCAAAGAGGGCAGCATCCTGCTGGAAGGATGCTGGAAGCCTCCTCCAATTCTGCTGGAAGCCTTTTGACTCTGAGCCCATTGCCACCAGGATCTGCCTTCAAGATGAGATGAAATTGGTAGACCAACTGGCAATCATACACTGACTATAGGGAGTCGGGCAATTTAGAAATATGAAATAAAAACTAAAATAGGCATATTTTGCTATAGGATTGAGTGCTGTTTTGCAAGTGAGG